ACAGACAACACACGTCAACAACATCCCGAAGAAAAAAGACTGGGCCAAGCGGGAAAGAATTCTAGGAATTTTAAGAATTCTTACTTCAAATAACGAAACATAATTTTTACAGAATTAACGACGAATTAAATAAGAAAGCTACCGTGGTGTGTGGAAAACCTTTAGTGAACCGACACTCTCGGCAATTTTAACTATTGTAATTATTTTAATTAACTGGAACGTGGCTATTTTTAACAAAGTGAAGTTTTGTGTGTTGGTGATTTCTTTTTCTACTATAAATGCCTCTGATGATGGCTCCGTGGTGAGCCGAAACATGTAAGGCAGGTGGTGACGAGGTGGAAAACTTATAAAAGTGTAACATTTGACGGAAGGAACTTGATTGTTAATTTGTTAGTGTGACGGACCAGAATGAAAGACCTTAAACTTACACTTAAAAGTTCGGGAGGAGCTTTTATCCAGTGGCACAAATCCATATGCTGTGCATGGTTGCCTGGTTCCAGATGTTGTACCCTTTGATCATGGTAAGGATAAAACTCTTCATCATGTAAAGTTCGCCACAGCCGATGCGAGAGGCCATTCTACGAGTGGACAGATGCGGACTTCTCTCAACCACGTCAAGAATGTTCTCTCGTGTGTTTCTCATTTGTACATCCTCCCTTTCCGACTGCACAGAAACACTCGAAGACAACCAGTCTCACGCAATGTCTGGTGATTTCGCGTAAATACACTTCGAGATGGAATCCTTCGATCGGGAAAACGCCTTTGGTATTCTTCAACAGCAGCACGTGCATTGCCACCGTAAAATCCACACACAAAATGCATATCACAATATTCCAGGTGTGAAATCACAAGAGGCATTTCAGCAACTCATCACGCAACTAATTACCAACCATTCACGACACAGCCGCAACGTACTCTGTAGGTAGCGCATGAGCTTACGGCTAATGTGAATCACGACACTCACGGACAAACAGATAAGAGGTCTCAGTTGATAGGTATAGTGCGTGGACCTGCCAGAAGACCACACTTTTCTCGGGCCATTATCTCCATAACCGTTCAACTTTGGACATAGGTGTTTTGGGTTATATCGGCATACTTTAACATAAGGAACACCCTCCCGAAGTTTGGCACATTCCTCCTGGGACACCCTGTATATGGGTTAAAATATAATTTGACCATAATCTTTGCAAGAGACACACTACATCATCCAATGGGGAATATGTTTAACCTTCACCTGCTGAGAGTTGTATTATAGCAACGGTGCATGCATGTGGTCCAGCTGGTCAAGCATTACATTTTCATAATATGAGGTGTATCAGAAAGTTCCAAGACTAGATCAAACAACAAATAGTAACTTCACTTACTCAATTTTGGCTGCCATCTGCTACAAAAATGTATCCTTGGGAACATATACAGTGACTGTATTGTTTTTTTCCACACTTCAAAAGCACCATGGAAATCATTTTCCTTAATGCTGTTGAGTACAGCTTGCGATTCCCTTTGGATGTCAGACTCGGTTTCAAAATGTCGTACCTTCATTTTCATTTTCAATATGGGAAACAAAACGAAATCACAGGGGTGTAAGTCCAGAGAGTAGGAAGGATGGGGAATGATAACCACGTTGTCAGTCACATAGTCTGTGGTTTTCAGTGACGTGTGGGAAGGAGTGTTGTCACGATGGAGTCAGCTGTGGTTGTGCCAAAGTACTGGTCCTTTTCGTCGCACATTTTCCCTCAAGTGCCTCAAAGTCAGAATTGACCATAGTGTTAGGAGGAGCAAATCTGCAATGAATAATCCACTTCACGTCATATTTTTTCAACATTTTCTGTTGTTTTGCTGCTGCTTGGTCTCCTTGAACATTTGTCACCTTCAACTTACACTTGACTGGCCTTGAAATGTGAACGCCATTCAAAAACTGCTGTCCAGCTTAAACAATGTTCTCCAAAAGCCTCACAAAGTATTTCAAGCATTTCGGTTGTGGATTTACTGAGCTTCATGCAAAACCTGATGTAGACAAGTTGCTCAATTTTGCCATCTAATGCAGATAAAACAAAATATGAAGTCAAAATAGCACTCATGTAAAAACAATGCATGTTCACAGCATGGTGTCATGTGGCAGACTGAGGCAATAGGTCTGTGGAAGTGTCACCTTGGCCTCCCTTCTCATCTTCTTTCACTGAGGTAGTGACAACAATAACAGTCCGGGAACTTTCCAACAGGACCTTGTACTAATACCACTCATCACCCCTGGGTTAAAATATGGCTACCAGCACCACTGTACCAGGAAATATAAAAGCTCCTGTTTCCAGGCAACATACTGACACCACTAAGTTAAAATGTAGCTCCCAAACCCTCAGTACCAGGAAACTTAAAATCTCCTTTTCCTGCACAATGAAGATTAACACAACAGTGGTGCCAGCCTGCCACAGGGGAGATACAAAGCAAAAGACACCAAAACCTTCTGGTCTCCCATCATGATCCAATTTCAGAAAATACTTGAGATGGATTATGCCTCCAGGATATCACTGACAATTAGAAACCTACGGACAATTCCTATACCATTAGTGAGCAGCTTCTTTAAGTCCCTACAAAGAGAACAATCACTCATGGCCACCCAACTCTGGACGATGCTAATGCTTATGGGTCTACACGGATTCAGGAGACTTGCGAATGATTACATTGCAGCTCCAGTCAGCACAGACAAGCTAGCAGTTATTTGGCTGTCAGAATATCTACACCCAAACAGAGCACTCTGTGGCTATACATGACTTATGATCCATGCTCCATGCCTGAACTTGCATACAGGAGCAATGAGAAGGGTCCACTCGACATGACAGCCCACACCACAATCTTTCAGGATGTAGACTGACCAAACTACCTCGATAGGAGCACATCAGAAACATGGCTTTGTAAGCCAATATTACTTTACAGCAAATTCAAAAACTTCAATGTCATGGACGTTGCTGCTCTCCTCTATTTGTTTTGGACAAAGGCAATACTTCATGATTCATTCCTGTTGTGTAACTGAAGACTCAATTCCTCTCCCTTCAAAAGGAAACAGATTTCTGAAACACCATGTAACAGTTTATCCACATGAGGATGGACCAGGTAAAGTGGGTCTATGTGAGGCTAAAGTGATATATAAGGAATTAATTCTCTGAAAAAGAAAAAAAAAATATAAGTCAGGTGGTTGGGGGTTATGCATTATAATTTTTTAAAAGATTCTTGGAGTAATACAATTTCAGGACCACTACCACACATGTATGCCTGTGATTAAGACCACAAACATTGACACCCACCTGCAAATTAACCTGTTCCTCAACATTCACCGTTTCTCCTGAACGCCACCTGCTTAGTTCCAATTCCAACTTCTCCAGCTTTCCCTTTAGTCTAGCCACTTTCTCTTTCTCCTTTTCATAGCGACGCTTCCATTCTTCTGCTGTCAATTCTTCATTCACACAAACAACATTCTTGATAGTTTTTGCGCTATAACAAAAAAACTGATATACATGAACTGAAAGTGCTTAGAACAAGTCACAACCAGGGCTCAAAAAATACATCTTAAGTCTTCTACGCAATTTGTAACATTCAGTCACCTATGGTTTCATATAAACACTGTTTCCGTTAACTTGCCCTTGGCAAATGGGTGAGTGTATTTCTTGAGTCATAGTCATAAAAGTTCAAGAAACTAGGCCAAAAAAATGCTAATCTTTAAATTTTCTGCAATGAGAAAAAATCAGACATTTGTAATTAAGCTGTATTTCATGCACAACGAAAACAACATATCTACATTAAAACTGCGGTTTTACCGTTTGCCAAATTCAAGGGTTGACTTAGTCTCAGCCTCATTGAAACTCGCAGGTGAGCAGCAGATAATGATGGTAGTACGAGCATTTCCACCAAGGGACTCCTGCAGGATTCGAGTGAGTTTTGAATCCCTATATGGAATGTGTGTTTTGTTTCCATCAGCAAGAGCCGAAATGACATTCCCAAGAGCTGACAGTGACTTGTTGATGTTCTTGGCTTCATCCAGTACTGTTCCTTCTGCTCCTGTCTTACTAACCTGACAAAAACACACATATTTCTTATATCATGCTTAAATAGATACACCTTGAAAGAGTTACCTGTGAAAAGCACTGAGGCATTATTGTGGAATCTTATTCTCTAAAAATATTAACCCTTTGTTCCCCATATCACAGTAGAACACAGTGAAATTAAAGGGCCCTTCACCTTCTAATGTAGTAAAAACAGCCACTGTACTGAACACATCATGTGTCAATGTAGCTGAAAACCGGCTGCACCTATTATCACCAAAAACACGTCATGATTGTATAAGGGTCCTTGCACCATGACCTACAGTGGTCATAGTCTCAAAAGAATCATTAGGCATGTATCAATTTGTGTTGGCTCGGTGGGTATGAAAGTAAAAATTGCATCAAGCCATGGGATCCACACTACAAAAGTATACTGACACTAAAAGAAGAAAACTGAAATGCAAAATTGAAGGATGAATGCAAATTCTGAGTACTTACAACATACAAAATGATATATTTGTAATACACTGCAGAAGTTTCATAATGAAATAATTCAAAATCAAGTTGTTGCGATTTTTAAAGGAACTTAAAATTTCAATTCCCCAGGAAAAGACCAGTCTGATAGCATGAAGAACTAGGAGTAAGTGGAACAGGCATACGGTTAATCCTAAGGAATATCATATTAAAGTATAATAACAAATCTGTCCCTATATGCGTGCAGTTTCTTAGATTTTATTTTATTAGCCAGAAATAGATAAGCTTAGCTTTATTAACCATCTTTAATGACTGTGGACTCGTAGCGATTCCAATATTCCCTATCTAGATAGATGGCATCCAAGAGCTTTAATATTAAAATTACAGTTTAGTTAAATGGAGATGTTAAGATTATGAAAAGGTCTGAGTATCATTTATGAAACAGAAATTTTAATTACTGCAGAGTGATTTTGATCTGTATGCAAATAACTGTGACAGCAATGATGATGAGTCAGCAATGAAGTGATAATATGAGAGGTATTAAAATGAAATCAGACTGGGGATTTTTCTGACAGAAGGAGTAGAGAACATTAAAAAATGGTCCCCTTCGGCACTGAGGCTGGAGACCAACTGACACACCAGCCAAAGGCTTCCTTCTGCAAAGAACTCCTTGCGCTGCTGTGGAGCCACTGCACCACATGGCCTTCACATCTTTATCTGATCAAAGAGCAAATGAGTTTAATTTGAAGAACATTCACAGTATAAGTTAGAATGTTTTGATTATTAGAAAAGACCATTACAGGTTACAGGTTACAGGTTACAGCTTACAGCTACCAGTGAGTTAAAGGTAGGACTGACAACTAGCCACACAGTCATCAACATATTAAAATTTGGCATAATATAGCTTGTGTTTAACCTGACCATAGAACTAACTGTTAGAAATGACAGACCTGTTTGGTGGTAAATGTGGCTGCACAGAAACACCACAATATTTTCCTTATATGACCTTTTTCTTTAAAACATCAGAATGTGAAACTCCATCCCATCTATTAACAAAAATGCTGTATCAATTAACTGACATGAGCTGATTTCTTTGTTTGTGGCTTCTATTATAAATGATATTATTTTAACTTTCATCCAATGACATTTCACAGATCACAAAATAGCTAGTATAACTCAAAGGGAAGATCCCCTGAACCCTTCAAATTTTGTCAATAAGGTAATCAAAAATTATTTGCCAGGAACAAACTACATAATTTAATAAATGAATATTTATTAAGTCATCCAGAGTATAATTAACTTACCTTTTCACTACCAGCCAAGTCAACAAGATAAAGTTTACCAGACAATTTCTTCTGATTTTCCAAATTTTCTTGTTTAACATTGATCAAAAACACACTATGAGAACGTGAACTGTGTTCATTCATATCTGAAACACAATTTCAAATAATATGTTTATTTCATTTCTTACATATTCTTCCCGACTGATGAAAGTTATTCAAAAACAAATCATACCATTCATTACACAATCTCCAAAACAGTACTTGAAGAATCTTTTCTAATATACCAGCAAAAGAGAAGTGGATTCTTAGATTGGTACTCCATCTACAGTCCAAGTAATAGTCTATTACCAATACCTGCAGATATTATTAATTTTAGGCTTTCATAGTGATTAACCACTTGCATTGGGAATTTTATCTGCTTGGGTGTACTCTGGATAGTTTTTTCAACCATGTAAATTTAAATACAAGGGATATTCAGAAAGTAACCTTCGCTTATTTTAGGCAACTCATATAAAAGCAGAGGAGAGCTCGTACATGCGAGGTAATCTCATTTGAGTCATTGCCTTGTAAACCATCATATAACTGGCCACTCAATATTTGTCCTTGTCTCTACAGAGTGAGTTATGATGTATCCTGCGATCAAAAATCCTGCCAGCTGCAAAATCTGCACTGTTATCCACTTTCTTCACTCCAAAAACATGAGTGCTATGTAAATCCATTGTTAATTATATGCAGTTTATGCCCAAAACGTAATGAATGAAGGAATTGTAAGACAATGAAGTAGAATGTTCAATAATGCATGGGTGAACAAATGTTCACAATGAAGAACGAAGTGGTTGACCATCTGTAGTGTCTGATAATCTTGTTGTTCAGAGTGTTGACTAAAAAATTTATGAAAGGTGGCATTTCACAATTTCAGAACTTTCAAGTCAGTTTCCACAAATTTCATGCACTGTCCTCTACGAGATTATCATAACCTGGCTAGGCTATCATAAGTCTTGTGCAACATTTCTCAATCACCTTCACTGGTTGCATCCTGCTGTGTGCTCCATATATATATAAGAATTAGGTTAACCATCAACGCAACAAATATACTCACTTTTAATGATTCACAATTCACACCACATACACCACCATCACCACTAATGAGTCTACATGGAAAAATACACAATGTAGAACAAACCAAATTAATATACACCCAGACAAAATGCATACACTATGTTTTATGATCATATAACGATATATACGTGAAATATGCACACCTAATATACCACACATTAACAACCAATACATCAAAATCATTCTTTCAGATAGAAATTTGTCCCTGGGCTCCACAACTGGGCTTACTACGTAGAAAGCCTTTACAACAAAGCCCTACAAATGACATAACATGCACAATTCTACACCGTAGCAATGGAACCTTAGGATTAAGTTGGAATACATATTTCTTAACCTCCCATACTAAATAGTTTAAACACTTTTAAGACATGAAGAAAGTCATCTTCTGGGATCTGGCGCCATGTATTCCTTGTTTCAGCCGACGTTTCGGAGGAACATATCGCTTCCATCTTCAGGGCGGTGAATTCCGTAGCGAATACAGAGAGCAGTAGCTGACAACTAAATTACTGATATCACATAAAGAGAGTTAAAACATCACACATGCCATGATTTTGTCATACTAGTCTCTACTGTAACTAATCATTACCTACAGGCCTAATCTATATAAATAAAAATGTAAATGTTCGTTTGTTCAAAGTCTTAAATCCCCGAAAGTTCTTCACCGATTGCTTTGAAATTTTGACACGTTGCATTCAAGCGCGTTTTTATATACCTATTATATAGATGTCACACATATACTAATCTGGCTCTATAAAAAGACGACTTAAAACAAAATCGATGATGTAATATGCACTGAAATACCCAACGCCGACGTCGATAAGGATTGCATGAAGGAAAATTCCAATATGAACATGGATTTCACAGCAGAAATCTACAACGAAGCGTTGATAATGACTGAAGATTTGTGCTTAGAAATCGTGAACAAAGTTCTCATTCAATTGGGAATGCCATCACCGAATCGATCTGCTGCTGCTTCGTTCAATGTAGAATTGCGTTGTGAACAAAATTACAACACAGGTGATCTTTTGTCGTACGTGCAATCAAATATTCCTAAGCTAAGGCTTGAGCAAAAAGGCATTTATGATCAAATACTGCAAACTGTCAATAATGGGGTTGCAGAAATCTTCTTCTTAGATGCACCAGGAGGAAGTGGTAAAACGTTCCTAATTAGATTGATTCTGGCAGCAATTTGATCCCAAAATGACATAGCCTTAGCTCTTCCGTCGTCCAGAATAGCTGCAACATTGCTACCAGGTGGAAGAACTGCTCATTCCGCTTTGAAATTGCCATTGAACATGCAATTCATTGAAACTCCCACGTGCAACATTTCCGAAGCATCAGGCATGGGAAAGGTTTTGCAGTAATGCAAACTTATTGTTTGGGATGAATGCACAATGGTGCACAAAAAATCGCTCTAGGCTCTTCATCGATCATTGCAAGATTTGTGTGGAAACATCAGACCATTTGGGAACGCATTAATATTGCTTGCAGGAGATTTCAGGCAAACATTACCTGTAATTCCTCCATCGACACCAGTGGACGAAATAAATGCTTGCCTGAAATACTCTACTTTGTGGCGACACGTAAAGACATTAAAATTAACTACAAATATGCATGTCCAGCTGCAAAATGATCGATCAGCTGAGATATTCTCACATCAATTGCTGGAAATTGGGAACGGGAAGGTGCCGGTTGATCTGACCTCAGGACGAATTTCATTGCCTCATAACTTCTGCAATTTAGTGACGTCAAAAGAAGAATTGGTTGAAAAAGTATTTCCCAATATTCAAACCAATTATAAGAATCACGATTGGCTGAGTGAATGAGCTATTCTTGCGGCCAAGAACAAAGACGTTTATGAACTTAACAATATCATTCAGTCTAACATTAAATGCGAGGCAGTCACATACAAGTCCGTCGACACTGTTGTGGAAGCAGATGAAGCGGGTTAATTATCCAAGAGAATTTTTTAATTCACTCGATCTGCCAGGGATGCCACTGCACGTACTGCAATTGAAAATAGGCGTGCCAATTATCATGTTGCGAAATATCAACCAGCCAAAGCTTTGCAACAGTACGCGGCTTGCAGTAAAAAAATTATTGAGCAACGTCATAGAAGCAACAATCTTGACAGGATATTTCAAAGGTGAAGATGTCCTCATTGCTCGCATTCCTATGATTCCAACGGATGTGCCATTTCAATTTAAGAGATTGCAATTCCCAATTCGATTGGCGTTTGCAATCACCATCAACAAAGCTCAGGGCCAATCTTTAGAATTGTGCGGTTTAGATCTAGACACGGGTTGCTTCTCACATGGACAACTATATGTTGCGTGTTCTAGAGTCGGCAAACCAGACAATCTCTATATCTGCACAGACAATGTAACAACAAAAAATATTGTATACCCACAAGCATTCTGAAATTAAACATGTTAGAAACGTGCACTTTCTCTTCTCTTTCTTTTCCATTTAACCAGACTGAACCACAGCAACGCGTGGCCACATACCGCTAGTTCTTAAATATTAATACCTAGGATTTAATACCAATCTTGTGACTTATACTCGTTTTGCATTAATTATTCTAAGAATTTGCAGTGATGAATGTTTAGATAAGAGCTACTAGAATGAACTTTGATAGCCAGTGCGGTATGTGAATCGCTTACTTCTCCCACAAGCCCAATTAACTTTTAACGTATGGACTTTTAAATTGCCGGCAGCCCTCTGCGGCTGGAATTTAAATCCCCTTAATTCTTTAACATTGCAAACTTTCAGAAACAACCGCATGTTTTCTGTTCTATGCAACATAGAAATACGAACTAAAAACAACCTGAAAGACAATAAAATTTTCTACAAGAGCAATTTTTACAAACGAAAATTAACTGTGATTATTTTGTAATGAAATGCAAAATACAATCTTTATTATGTTATGAAATTCTAGCAGACTTACCTCTAGTTTTTTTTTCACCCTTGAGACTTGGTCATATTGTAAATATAATCACACGATACACAATATTTTATTCAGACTGTACGCGAGTTTGAACTGCATCACTTCACAGTTTATGATACCTCACACTCTGACGCACATGTCACTTCTTGAAGCAGTCTGCGACACACAGCACAACACCACAATTTTTGCAATATAAAATGGTGCTCCTGCCTTTCTTATTTAGTGAAACACACGACGTCTTTGTTTCCCTTTGGTTGGCATGTGTTGTGAATGTTTCACCTCCAGTCGACTCAGTTGGGCCCCAGATAACCTTGACCTCCCCTGAGAAACGCCACTGACCATGATATTCGCCTTGTGTGATTTAAGAATCATCTTGGGGGAGGGGGGTATCCAGCAAAATCAAATAAATTATGTTGACTGACAAAGTGACACTCTCACCTGTTAGTAATACTCACAAAATAGTGATGCAAAGTAATTGTAATACTAGTCATAAAGAGTGCCAGTCCAACACTGATACCGAAAGTCACAGTGACGAAGATGCTTTTTACTCACAAAGTAATACTGGCTCAGTAGGTTTATACCTCTTCCAAGACACAAAATAAAAATGATATACAAACAAATATAGGAGTCTGACAGTGACTTTTTAACCAATGAAGAAATATATGACAATCCGACACTGACTTTCTAACTGATACTTCGTTAATGAAAACCAATCCTTGAATATCTCACACTTCCTTGAAAGCTCTAGAAGCACTAACATGCAGTACAGATGAATATTTATTCCTCAGTTCTGCAGAGCTGGGCTCTATTTGGCTGACCAGGTCATAAACAGTCATATCTAAACATAAATAGTATCAAAACCAGTACCGTGATAAACGATTTCAGTTTTCAGAGCTAAGGAATGAACCACTGACATGACCTTGCATGGGTTCGTTTTGGTTTCAAACCCAAGATCAAACTGTCAGCACTCCCAACGAGTGCACTGTGTATTGCCTCATATAACATTCAGCCAACAGGAGGTGCAGCTTGCTGCATATATATTGTGACATGTTGCGCAACGGAGAACACCCCCCCCTCCCCAGCAGTGACATAACACGCAACGCAGCTGTGACGTGGGTAACAGGCAGCAGCGGTACCCATTGCATAACAGGCGGGCACTGTGATTATATAAGGGAACTACACAGCCGCCGGAGTTAGTTAAAGTGTAGCCGTCCCCGGAGACAGTTAAAGTGTATCAGCGGCTGAAGACAGTTCTCAAGCCAGCAGCCAGCAGCATGTGATCAGGAGCCAGTGTGCGATCAGGAGTGACACAGTTGGAGTATAGCAGCTGTCGCACAAAGAATAACCAGACATGTGTGTAATTGTGAGTGTGTAATACAGAGAGACTTGTATAGCTCCCGTACTGTGAATACGTGTAGACTACCGAGGACAGAGTGAACAGATTACTGCGAATAGGGTTATAAAGTGTGAAACCCCGCAACTTTGTTATAATCAATTGTAGATGATAGTTGTAGGTTGTTAAATAAACCAATCAACAATCCAAACGGCGTCTTCAGTAAATAAAACACGTTACAATATATAACATTCGTCCAAGGTTAAAGAAACTTGCAGAACATTCTCAATCTGTAGAACAGTGTGAAAGCTTCATGAAAATTCTCGATACAAAGATTCTGGAGTATTACGAAAAGTAATGAGCAACAATTTTTTATACGGTAACATGCTTTATTATTGACAAACCAAATACACCACCTCAATCTACAGACCTTTCTTTATTTTTCCACATAATTGCCACTTCTTTGTACACATTTCTCCCTGTGTTCTGGGAGTTTGAAAATTCCCCTTCTGTAAAATTCTGTTCCAGCCATCTGAAGACACTGACGCACTGCTTTCTGAATTGCCTCCCTTGTCTCAAAACGTTGCCCACACAGCTGATCCTTCACAAATCCGAAAAGATGGTAGATGGAGGGTGCCAGATCATGACTATAGGAGGGGTGTGGAAGAACTTCCCACCCCATCTTTGCAATTGCTTCCAATGTGAGGCAAGTGGCATGGGGGCGAGCGTTGTCATGCAGGATGATGATGTTTCGTCCTGGACGTTTATTGCACAATGCACAATGGAGCTTGTGCACCGTCTGGACATAACGAGCAGCACTGATGGTTTGGCCAGGTTCCAGAAATTCGGCCAGAATAAACCCCTCTGCATCCCAGAAGACTGTGCCCATCACCTTCGCAGTTGATGGCACTGTCTTTGCCTCTGTCTTCTTTTCTGATGGAGAATGCAAATGGTGCCATTCCATACTCTGCCATTTCGTTTCAGGCTCGAAATGGTGAAACCAGCTTTCGTCACCTGTCACGATACAGAGCAAAAAATCATCGCCTTCGTGTCGATATCTCTGCAGCATTTCTGAGGTGATGGCTTTTCGCTGACATTTGTGGTCTTCGGTCAATAACCGCAGGACCCAACAAGCACGAACTTTCCTACAGCCCAAGCTTTCAATCATCTCCTGTAGTGCACTGTGCCGTATTTCAAGTTTTCGGGCTATTGTGTTCACAGTCACACACCCGTCATCTTGAATGATCTCGTCCATTCTTTCCTTGCTGCATTCAGTTGAAGCTGTTCGAGGATGATCGCTCCGAGGCTTATCTTCAATGCTGGTGTTCCCATCTTTAAAATGTTTCACCCATCTTCGAACACTGCTCGCACCCATGCACACACTTCCATAAGCACACTGAAGTCTCTTATGAATTTCTGCAGGAGGGATTTCCTCTTTCACAAGAAATTCGATGGCAGCACGCTGGCAAAATAACATATCTTTGTCGGCCATCTTTAGGAGTGATACTGGTCACATGATGCAAGCTATTGACATCACAAGACACTCAAGGTTAACACAACAGCTGGTTCCACCAACCACCGTACTATCTTTCGTCTGCTATTCCCAGGTTGCATGCAAGAAAGAAGATGCTCATGACTTTCGGTACGACCTACATATGTCATCCAAGAGAATTTGTAGGACTGATTTCAGATGGCGCATATACCATAGTAATACAATAGCATCATCACTATATTAATATTCAGTGTGTGGTATTCATAACATTCAGTGCATTCACTGTGACTATTGGGTGTTGTGTACAGTTGTATACGAGAACAGTTGTACCCTCGACCTAAGTGAATGACTTGTAAAATCGTGTAGTGCTGCCAAAATAAATGAAGTACACCATTTCTTTGGCAAAGTGTGATCTAGTGACTTCTTCCATAAACCCTCTCTCATCGGAGCAAGGCCCATTAAAACTCTGCAGCAAATCTCATGCTCACAACCTAAACATTGTTCCCTTTCACTGCCCTCCAGCCAATCTCAGCACTCTGAGGTGGTTCTAAGATCACATGGCATTCACAACTACAACTGAGGCTACATCATTGAGGGAGTGAAGGAAAAGACTAAAAGTGGCATCCTCAACGTGCAGCTACTACTACGTTTGCAGAACTGTTAGAAGAGGCATCCTCAACAAGTAATAAGGACTGTTAAACTAGAAAATGCATAGATGTCAGAAAAATACTCACTTGTGACAGCAATATGTCGATTTGACTTTCCTTCTTCAATAACTTCAAAGACTTCCTCTGGACTTGAAACAAACCGTTCAGTTGCACCCTTCACAAATGGGACCCGATTTTTGTCTTCATGTACACTAAGGTTGACTTTTGACACTGGAATGAGACAGATGCAACTACAATATGAAGACCAATAAGTTCAACAAGTTATGAAAAGCAAATCACATTTTCTTTGTAGCTATTTAAGTGAATTCCCAAATTCTATATGATTATCACAAGTTGTTATCATAAACTTCAGCTACTCCTTAAAGCATACATCAACAACTGATGTGAATTTCACATGCTTCAACAACAAAACTGAGGGTTTACATCTGGATATAGGTTTCAGACAAACATCCCAAATATGTCAGCAGTGTTAATCTTTCACTTCAGAATCATATATATATGATGTTCAACAGGTCACAAACCTCAAGGACACAATATTTTAAAATGCACTTTCTACCTCCATGAAAAACGCAATGCCTGTTCCTTATCCCAACTATTGATATTCGGGGAACTAATTGATACTTGTTGTGGGAGCTAAATTAAAAACTATAAATCTGCTTTGTCACTGAAATACTGATGTGTATATTTTTAGGGTTGGTGGCATATAGAAGATGAATGACTTCTAAAATATGAAACTTCAAGTTACATAGTATATTTGGTAATTTTTAAAAGACAAAATTATACAGTTACAATGAAATGTTAACATACAGATGCAGAGGAATTATTTTAAATGTTACAGATCACTTAACATTCCCATGTTATTCACAAAGTTCCCACCACATAGCTACAGAATTATGACTGTCAAATGCCAAAATACAGGTTTCAAAAATAAAAAATCTCGTGGCAAATAAAATAGTCTTTATTACTACCAATGGCATTAAATAGTATGGGGGGATTGGTAAATTCTGAAGGGTTCTGACAATGGTGTATAACACTCACAATTACTGGGCTTTTGGACTTCATCCATCATCCAGCATTCTAGAAACCAGAAAACGTTTCAGAAACTGGATCTGTTTCCGACCTCAGGTGAGGGTGGAAGACACCTACTCTGCTAGGTCTCTTAGAAAGAGCTAACCTAAATCACTGTGAACACAGGCACAATCTTCAAGAGGGTCTTAAAAAAAAAACGAACATGCCTGTGAAGAGGGTCATAAGGTTAGCTGGGATTTTGGAAACTGAAAGTAACAGCAGGTATAGAAAATACAAGGAATCGGCCCATTTGGCATGGTTATCCAATCCAATCCAGACATTTCTCCTATCTGAGTGCACCTCATCAGCAATGAGGTTTCTAACCCACAGAGAGGATCTGTATGATGTGACAGATTCCTCATAGGTTTCTATTAGGTTTAAGTCTCAAGTGTTCAGGTTTTACTCCATAGATGGCACTAGTGGTAGATACATGTCTTCACAAATTTTTCCATTACTCTACATTGGTGCTCATGCACTTGGTTTTGTTGGCTATGTTTCTACCTTATTTTCTATCCTAGTTCCACATATGTGTGTAATTCTATCACAATTAAACAGACCCAGTTTCTGTAACACATGTTTTCTATTTCTAGAATATTGGACAATGGACAAAGTCCAAAAACTCTGTAATTCTGAGTGTGGGAGATTATTTTACACCAAAATACAGTCTCTTCGCTGCGTGTAAATGCTCCACTGATTGCCGCCATTTATATCAGGTCAGCTTTGCAATAACTAGTGCAACAGTATCGTACAGGGAGGTTTACATACCCATGTTAGAGAGGAAGCTAAAATGATTCCCACTGGTTTGGATGATTCTCCAATTTTCTAAACAAATTCTGACACATACATACACACACTGTAACAGTCTTTCAGCTATACAAAACACTTCTAGCTGAATGTATTTCCCATGCATGGATTAGTTTAACAAACTTATATTTTAAATATCCCCCCCCCCAAGAAGAAAGCACATAGAGTAATCTTAGGAAAACAGGATGGTGAAAGACTGTGACTTCACACTTTTCACCAAACACTGTCTTCAAGGGGTGCATGAACATTCAGCAGTGCAGGCAGTTGCAGAATCCAGTTGAAATCTCAAGACTTTTCCTTTCTCTGTCAGTTGACTGAAAAACAGCTAAGTATCTGCATAATATAATCTCTCAGGGTTATCTGCACAATCCTACTCACACTCAGGGTGCTCAAGATACCAACTTTTATATGATGCAGTGAAATTTCATGCATAAGAAATGGATTGCCTGCACTCCAGTGTCTGTTATTTGTACATTTACATGTTCATTCAACTAAAACAATGCCTAGCTTGAAAAATAATGTTACCCTGAGATCAAGTTAGCCATCATGGACTTCAGATACCGGATACAGAAATAAAATACGGCTGCAAAAGTGTGACCATAAGGACATAGTTTCAATAAATTTAAAAAGTTTGTGAGGTCCGTTCTGATACTCCTGCTTCTCATGAACTATGTAGGTGAGTCATATGAAAACCATAAAACTGAGATAAAAATTCGAAATATAACCATTGTCCTATAAGTTGGCAGACATGTTACCAATGCTATAAAGAGTACCCTATAGGTCGCAGTATAATGCGGACAAACAGAGAAAAAAACTTTTTATGGTTTTCATTTGACTCACCCCCATTCACTTAAGGAGACTTTGAGACAAATGTTCAAGCTGACCTCCACTGCTGACAAGCTTTTCTTCTCTTAATACTCAATGCTGATGTTTCAGTTCCCTCCCTACCAATACATCAGTGGTTCTTACTTTATCAAGAAGGTTCTGAATATTGTTTCTGCAGGGAACTCAAACTGTGACCAACTTTCTTCTGAATTTCTTCCTAGCAGAATTCCATTTCATAAGTTCATATAAAATTACTTGAGCTTTAGCATAAAATTATCCATACACTGCACAAAGGAGTCCTGCACAGCACAGAATCACATGTAACATCACACAAGAGGTATAATGACCCTTTCCCTCATCATCAATGCCAACTCATCAGGTTCACTTCATGATATGGCTGCAATCTGTCACAGCTTACGAAGTAGGAAAGCCAGAAATCGATACAGTGATCACACATAGTAGAAAGGCAGTGCATCAACAAATAACACCATCTGCTGTCTAGCAGCTCATTAGTGCTTGTTTAATGATATTAACTCCATCTCCACTCTTGAAGTTGAAGGTTTTTATTACAAAATTTGAAAAGTGCTAACAAATACTTGCTAAAGGAGTCAGGCATAAATATTTTCAAATTAATATTATTATCGCATAGCTCAGTTCACGAGTTTTTACATTCTAAAAGGTTCAAAGTAGCAATAGACAATATCTGAAACACCTGTCATTGGCATGAATTACTGAATTCATTCTCTAATTAATTCCATTGAGCAGTGTTCTTCACAAGACAAAGAGTTGTTCAAGTAGTTGAGGAATATCCTGCCTTCTGCTTGTTCACAAATGCCCAGCAATAAACCCTTTCCTGAACCAAATAAGTCCAACCCATACCTTCATATTCTGTTGCTGTAAGGTCCATCATACTATTATCTTCCCCTCTACATCTACATCTCACAGGAAAGTTCTTCCTTTCAGGTTGCCCAACTAAAATGTTACGTGCATTTCTCACGTCTTCCATATATACGAGGGTCATACTGAAAGTCATGAGCAACAATTTTTTGTAAAGTAACATGCTTTATTATTGACAAACCAAATACACCACCTCAATCTACAGACCTTTCTTTATTTTTCCACATAATTGCCACTTCTTTGTACACATTTCTCCCTGTGTTCTGGGAGTTTGAAAATTCCCCTTCTGTAAAATTCTGTTCCAGCCATCTGAAGACACTGACGCACTGCTTTCTGAATTGCCTCCCTTGTCTCAAAACGTTGCCCACACAGCTGATCCTTCACAAATCCGAAAAGATGGTAGATGGAGGGTGCCAGATCATGACTATAGGAGGGGTGTGGAAGAACTTCCCACCCCATCTTTGCAATTGCTTCCAATGTGAGGCAAGTGGCATGGGGGCGAGCGTTGTCATGCAGGATGATGATGTTTCGTCCTGGACGTTTATTGCACAATGCACAATGGAGCTTGTGCACCGTCTGGACATAACGAGCAGCATTGATGGTTTGGCCAGGTTCCAGAAATTCGGCCAGAATAAACCCCTCTGCATCCCAGAAGACTGTGCCCATCACCTTCGCAGTTGATGGCACTGTCTTTGCCTCTGTCTTCTTTTCTGATGGAGAATGCAAATGGTGCCATTCCATACTCTGCCATTTCGTTTCAGGCTCGAAATGGTGAAACCAGCTTTCGTCACCTGTCACGATACAGAGCAAAAAATCATCGCCTTCGTGTCGATATCTCTGCAGCATTTCTGAGGTGATGGCTTTTCGCTGACATTTGTGGTCTTCGGTCAATAACCGCAGGACCCAACAAGCACGAACTTTCCTACAGCCCAAGCTTTCAATCATCTCCTGTAGTGCACTGTGCCGTATTTCAAGTTTTCGGGCTATTGTGTTCACAGTCACACACCCGTCATCTTGAATGATCTCGTCCATTCTTTCCTTGCTGCATTCAGTTGAAGCTGTTCGAGGATGATCGCTCCGAGGCTTATCTTCAATGCTGGTGTTCCCATCTTTAAAATGTTTCACCCATCTTCGAACACTGCTCGCACCCATGCACACACTTCCATAAGCACACTGAAGTCTCTTATGAATTTCTGCAGGAGGGATTTCCTCTTTCACAAGAAATTCGATGGCAGCACACTGGCAAAATAACATATCTTTGTCGGCCATCTTTAGGAGTGATACTGGTCACATGATGCAAGCTATTGACATCACAAGACACTCAAGGTTAACACAACAGCTGGTTCCACCTACCACCGTACTCTCTTTCGTCTGCTGTTCCCAGGTTGCATGCAAAAAAAAAGTAGCTCATGACTTTCGGTATGACCTACATACTACATGACCTGCCAAACTCATTCACTTCATACAGCATGATACCACATTTGCTTTAATATAAAAAACGTGGTCTAGCATGTTAATGTACCATGTTAACATGTCAACTTCTTCTTCTGCTCCATGTGTATAGTCCTCTGGCCTGTGCCATCTTCAACTGAATCATCTCACCTAGGGCTTTCCTGTATTTCTAGATCCTTCCAGTTTCCAATTTTAACACCATCTTTGAGAGCCCATTTCCATCCATTTTTAAAACGTGTTTTATATTATTCATTTTGTTCCCTACTTTCTCTCTCAGACTACATATATGCAATCAGTTCCATATTTTATTAAAAATCTAGAGGGTAAATCCAGCCACTGGCCATTAGAACTTCTTTCAGCTGACTTGACTTTCTTTAATCCAACAGACTCACTGTCCGGCAACATTTTACTTAATCAGAGAGCTCTACAATAACCCATGGAAACAAAACTTACTCAGATTCTTCAACTGAACATGTCCAGTCTGGTTAATTGGTTATAAATAAACTGGTGTTTGTAGACCCAGTGCTGTCATGTTCATTTTCCTTTTAAAAAACCATAACCTACATTTTATACTACATCAAATATAACTTACCAAATTTCACAATTATGGCTCATACAAAAAATTGGAACACATATGAATTCTATGACTGTTATTGAAAACAAACATATTTCTACGGTGTATCTTCAATGAAATAGGATGAGAAATATTTTATAATTCTAATTAGTGTATTATCTCTACTGCTGACTACTTCCATCAACAATTTATTTGTATCTGCAATCAATATGCATCATAACAAATGAAAGATGTAAAATTACAACACCTTTGAAAATTCAGTGAAACCTCTGGTTGGGAAGATTTCTATGAGGGAGAATCAATAACAGTGCTAAAATGAAGAACTTCAGCTGGGATAATTAGCTTGGGAACATTGAAAATATTTAAAATTAAATTAGGAAAATATCATTATGTAACTGCAGGATCTAAGGTTCTCACAGTGATGGATATACACAGTCCTGTCTCCTGGGATATACTTTTCAATACACTACACAGCATTATATCCCAGAAGATAGAACTCTTCATTACAAAACTTTTCATACTGCTGTCTTGAGTCGAAACATTCTCTTTGGTTCTTCACTCTCAAAACACCCTCAACCCTCCCTTTTGGGTGACAGACTAAGTTCCATGCCCACAAACATATTTATCTGATAGATAAATTAATCCAAAGGGAATAGCAGCAAGCATCTCTAAAATTTAATATAATCTTAACATAATCATGAATATAATTATGTACAAAACTAAAGTATGTATTTAAGACAGCAATGTAAGTTTGTTTAGCATAATTTATGTGTTCATGTGTGACTATACATGGTGTTTGGACTTATAATTGGATTTAGTGAACGTCTATAACTCATAACTATAACAGTCTCACTCATTTACACACTCCAAAGATCACAGTAGCTACAGCAGACATAAAGTTCCTTCATCTTCACTAGTCGCTGCTTGGTTACATCCTTCACTAGCCATCACTAAATTACCGCTTTTAACCGTGGGGGATTCTTCAGCCTCTGTGCCCATGTCTCACTGGGTGGTGGCTGGCTTGCAGCTAACTCTCATGGCCTCCTAGGCATCACTGTCGACTCACAGGCTTAACTACAAGGTGGTTCAAATATGACCGGGACTGATTTTTATTTTTAAACCAAAATTGCCAAACACTTAGTTGCACATGTCAGTCTTCAACATACTCCCCTCCAGATTCAACACATTTTTTCCAACGTTCTGGAAGCATCCTGATGCCCTTTTCAAAAGTTTTGTGGTTGGTGGCGTATCCACTCCCGAACATTCTGGATGACGGCGACACTGTCCACAAACCACATGCCTTGCAAGTCTGATTTGAGCCTTCTGAACAGGTAGAAATCACTTGGTGCCAAATCGGGACTGTACGGCGGATATGTCAGAAGGTTCCATTTCAATTTCTGGAGGGATTCCATTGTTGTTTTGGCCGTATGGGGGCGTGCATTGTCTTGAAGGAAGGCTACCCACTTTCCACCTCTCTTCCGCTTGGATCGGATCTTTTCCTTCATGTCTGTTGCCAGGAGGTCTGAGTAATAAGCTGCATTGATTGTTCTGGCATCTATCAGAAAGTCTACATGGATAACCCCCTGCCAGTCCCAGAAGAACGTTGCCGTCACTTTTCCTGCCAAACGGCTCCTCCGCGCTCTCTTGGGTTTGGGAGAACTGGTAAACCGCCACTCGCATGATAATTGCTGGGACTCGGGAATGAAGTAGTGCACCCACGCTTCATCGGTGGTCACTACAGACTTCAAAAATGAATCACCTTCATCTTCAAACTGCTGTAGGAGACGACTGGCAACTTGCATGCGCACCATTTTGTTCACGTCCATCAAAGTGCGTGGTATCCACCGTGCATTCACCTTGCGATAGTGCAGGTGGTATTTCATGATTTCTTTTACACTACCAACACTGATGGACAGCACTGCTCCAAGTTCCTTGATAGTGATGGGCCTATTCTCACAAATAAGTGCGTCTGCACGACCAATGTTTGGCTTGGTGACGGATGTTGGCAGCCGACGATCATGTGGTTCGTTCTCCACGCACTCTCAGCCCTCTCTGAAGCACTTACATACACCATTCAAACACACGGGTCTGTGAGAGACACTCTTCCCCATACTGTTGTTGGAGTCTGTGGTGAATTTCAGCGGACGGGACATTTTCTCAAACGAGGAATTTGATCACAATGCGTTGTTCCATGCTCCGCGGTACCTTCTGTTCACTCATCACTCTAGCAACTTCCAGACAGGACTGAACAGGTTCTAACCCTAACAGGAGGGAGGGTGGAGGTTGTGGCTTCACTCTCTCAAGGTTGCACAGCTGCTGCGCAGTGCGGCTTGTTTACACACAAATCAGTCCCGGTCATATTGGAACAACCTAGTAGTTGTCCTTCTTATACAACATCACTATGGACCACTTAGAAAACACAGTTTCCCAAAACTTCTCTATTTTTCCACATTGAGTCCCCAACTTCCTTTATTATCATGTGCTGATTTGTTACTGCATGTTTTGGTTGCCACTGCCTAGCAATGATTGTCTTTTCTGGCTGTCATGTGACACTGCTCCCTCCTTCTGGCTGCTTGTCCTGATTAGCTTACAGGTGTATCACCACTTCTCCATCTCCGAGAGGATGTGACTATGACATCTGTGATCATCCTCACAAACGGCACCTCAAAGTCATGCTGGGGTTGACACTTCTTCCTCTGGATTCATGGGGGGGGGAACTTTCAAAACTGGCAAGTGTTCCTATGGTGCTGGCACATAAGCTGTCAGTAGTCTCCTCCACAATGCCCTGTTGCTCATTTTCCAAAGCCTGAAGAAAAACATGAATGCTAGCTCTATGACTTCCAGCTCGGTGGTCTGTCTGAAGGCCTTGCTGACCGTCCTCTCACTTCCACGATGTAACTGCTTTTTAATGCCTCAACTCCCACCCATCCCTGAAAGCCCTGCCTGGTCCCCTATGAAAGTGGTCCTCATGTAGTGCAAGGAAGGCACAGTGGGTCAACTGTTCAATGGCAGTGGCAAACTCCTGCAGGGACTGACCATTGTCTTGGGGCCATGTTTTCAGTGTACTGCAGTAACCTACAGCCAAGTGTTGGTTCCCAAATTGGTCCTCAGTTGCCTCAATACTCTCCCCATATGTTGATCCTATGGGGTCTCCATATGGAATATAAGAAGCCGTGCAATGCAAGGCGGTAAGACGTACACTGCTTTATGCGCGGTGCCCATTTATAGTGCTCTGCTTAGCTTTCTTACTTATGGAGCTAGGTCCTTCTTGAGGAGCCACCAAATCTGCAGCTACTCAAGAATTTCCCAGCATTTTATGGAACCTGAAGGTTCATTACCATGTTCACAAGAGCCCTCCACTGGTCCCTATCCTGAGCTAGATCAATCCAATCCATACCATCCCATCCTATCTCTCTCAGGTCCATTTTAATATTGTCCACCCACATACGCCTTGGTCTTCCCAGTGGTCTCTTTCCTTCTGGCTTTCCCACCGATATCCTATATGCATTCCTCTTCTCTCCCATTTGTGCTACATGCCCTGTCGACCTCATCCTCCTTGACTTCATAATTCTCATTATACTTGGAGAAGAGTACAGCCTTTATCTTTTCGTGACTGGCCTCCATTTTTTCTTGGCTGGGCCTCACCGTGGCCTTCATTTCTTCCATGCCAGTCCTAATTTTGGCTCATTTGTTCCTGGCCAGCCTTTACTGTGGCCTCCATCTTTTCTAGATGGGCCTCCACTGCTTCTAGGCAGGCCTTCATCTTGGTCTCTATCTTTACTTTATCAGCATCTATCTTGGCTTCCAGCCATCCCAACCTAATATGGCTACAAAACGTTCGAGAGCGCCATAGTGAGCTATGACATCATGCAGGTTCCAACCCAATGATGCACAATAAAATAGGTCCAACAATTCAATCTGATTCAATCAGCCCACAAAAAACTCTCTTGTGACACCAGATGTCATGTATGACTAGACATAGGGTTTCAATTTATTGCTGTGGAAATGTGTTTTGGTTGACACTGCCTTGCAATGGCTCCCTTACTTCACATAAGTTTGTAACTTCACCAAGAGCCAAAACCTCAACACCTCAGCATTCATTATTATAAAAATAATTTCTATGAAGTGTCAATATCATGCAGCTGCACATTCTTTATTTTGGCACAGTGTTTACACTGTTGTACTCACACCTTTCCAGACATAAACACAAAACCAACTCATCTGGTTCCACTCCATTTTACTTCATTTTCTTCCTGCGAAACAGATGCAGTGTAAACAAATGGCACCTACCATCTAAGAGATCCCTGATTTTGTCCATATAGATCTCAAAGTAAGACACCTTGATATGGAACTCCAGATTTTCCTCCATTGCATAAATGTGGTTGAAGATGTCATTCACTATCCTTGGAATGATACCCTGTTTCACAGGGTCACCGATCACACCTTCCATCGTGTGCGTTTTGCCTGATGATGTCTGCCCATAAGCAAAAATGGTGCCATTGAAACCAGATAGCACATCTGTAACAAATATTTACAATTAGTAAGCTTTCTCTATACAGTCTTCTCTCAGACTGGCATTTCCTCAAATGTCCACTTCCTATCAGGGTCAACAGCCTTCTCAACACACAATTAAGCAAACGCAACATTGCACAGATGGATACAGTTAGACAAGAGGGCTGCAAATTGAATCCAGAACCTTCTTCATCAAAGGAGGACTGAATCAGCTGAGCAATGAATAAATAAGGCAGCATCAGAATATCTATTACATGAAAGAAAAATTATTACCATCAGAATCTATGCACAATAACATACAATCATTCAAACATTACTCTTTCAATCTTCTGTCCTGTTTCTGCCACAGTGAGTTTTACTTTCTGGTAAATTCTTATCTCCACTCTACCTACAAACCATTTCTACAGTAAAATTCACAACTAATAAATAATGTAGACATATACAGGGGGGGGGGAACTATAACAAATCCTTTACTGAAAGTCTAAGCAATATGCATATTATCTCCATAAATGTCTTCTCTGTCCTTATTTATTTACAGTGGCACATATAATAAAAATCACTGAAATGTAGCTTCCTACAGTTAAATATAGCAAAATACCTGAGCTTCAAAGATAGTATTTTTCATTTGGCAATTGTTTTTCTATGACACACATGCATGCACATATGCACACTAAATACAGAAATTCTTCTTCTCAAATTAGAAAATTCTTAAAATGTATCTCTTTAGTTATTGCTTTGTTAATCTTTTTTCCTTTGTCCACAAAAATTACACAACTGGACACCTATGCTTGCTGAACATTCTTGTTACGTTTTTTACAAAATCATTGATCTCTTTCCTTCAATTACTATTCCTGTGTATATTAACAGTCTGATATTTTCAACCCCTTAACGCTGTAAATTAAACATAAACCATAATAAATTTAATTAACCATATAAAAAACAAGATTGATTATTAAAATATATATGATCGTTCTCTGTTGATGGACTGCAAATATGTTTTGAATTGTGATTTATAAAAACTGATAATTAATGTTACCTTCCTTCATCAACCCAAACTGATACTAAACACATTCTACAAGCAACCCCAGTACACACATTATAATGCTTTATACAAAATATTGCCTTTACCCCCACTAGCAATAAGCTTAACCCCAGTGACATCAACATTCCCTTTCTTCACTTGTCTCCAGACTTGAAACTCATAACTGTGAATTAGCCAGACACAACTTGATAGTCCTGTTCAATTTATTTTTCCCCACATATTTTTTTTAATCTACAACTATCACCACTTTTTAGTTAAGAGTAACTTATTCAACAGTAAGTGTAATACACAGAAATACTTCAGTTTCTTGTCAAGATAATTTACTATGTGGGCTAAGTACTTAGTCATGTGCTGGGACGTCTGTACATTGCTATGGCAGGTGTACTGCATGTAACTCGTTACATGCAACAGAAGAAAAAATAATTCAAGCATCCCAAAAGGAATTAATGTTTGCATAAAGTTTTGAAAGCATACTTGGAATAACAGGAAAGACTAATGTTCTCTTTAATCGCCACCTCGGTCAATTCTTCATGGAACCAAGTGACTTTTATGATGCCCCCATAAATAAAGTCCTACATTTCATTCGAAGTGTAGGATTAATAAAGGGTTAATCCAAAAGGGAAGAACAATAGATCACTGAAGGTCGTGGTGAGAGGGCTGGTTTTTATGGCCCCTCATACTCAATCTTCTCTTTATATGGGCATGTTTAGTGGCCTTCACTAGGTAAAATATGCAGTGCCAAGAACATTTAAGTGTCTGAATTGCTCAAAGGACTCTATATGATACATACTGTAGCTCTTGTTTACTAAACCAAATAACATTCATCAATACAGGGCAAATTGACCTAAGCTCATTCAAGCAGTGTCTTACCTTCATTAGTCACTCTCCACGCCTCAAACTGAAATATCTACTACTTTCTGAGGGACACTTTTATCAGTACCTAGACTGTACAGTATCCTATGGTAAGATGATTGATAAATTAAATTCTTAATGAGACGAAAATCTTATACCAGGTCTACGGGTCACAATGTTTCAATTTGCATCCTTTCACTAATATGTTTTTGACATACAGAGCATATAACACCATCGTCATCACTCACTGTATATCCTATTGTTATCCAAAGGCTGATTTGTAATACAAGCAACATGGAGAGAAGGAAGTTGCAGTGATTCAACTCCCCAAGGACTCCACAGTTCTTTTAATATTATACCTATCATTCCATTGGTAAACTGCCTATATTACCATAATTCTTAACAGACCACTGCTGCAATGTTACCATATGCTGGCACATTACTTTGTCAAGAACAGTTTATCCGCTGAATTTGATTTGTTTCATTCTGGTTAAACAGTTCTGTCAAAAATTATCAGAATTATTATAAAATGCATATATAGACTCCTATATTTGTTGCCCAGTAGGTAAACCAGTTGTCTTTCAAAGTCATCACAGTAGCCAATTCCATCTTAACAGAATGTCCCAAAGCCATCACAACATTCCAAAAGGAAAAAATTAAAACTGGTTGCAATGAAGCCTTGACACTGTGAAAAGGAAAGAGAAAATGGCTACACATGTAGATAGGCAGAATTCTGCTACAAAATTAATGGGATGAGGATGTAGTTATTGCTGAGATCCTTTGTGTCAACCCTTAGTTCCATGGTGCAACTCATGAAATGCACATCAAATGTCATAAACTGCATAAGAAATGTAGAGTAAATAATAAACCTGGATAGAATTCTATTAATAGAAATAAAAATCTGTGCACAAAATAGCATGCCCACTCACCCGAGACAATCGATTTTGCAGCCTCATTGTAAACTTTCTCTTGTGTTGCACTTGGTTTGAAGACTTTGTCAAAAAGAAACACCTTGCTCTGTAAAGGAAATCGAGATAAATATTTACTTTGAGTCAAGAGTTACCTCCAAGAACAAAAAACTTACACAGAACAATCAGGACCACAAAGTTTCCACTAATTTTAACAACCACACTTAAGAATACTGACATAAAGGAATGAGTTATAAATGCTAAAAGTATCTGCCAGTGGATGTAGGTAGTATGTTTCTAACAACATTAGTAACCATACACCAGACTATCGCAATATGAAGTTTACATTAATTTACAATATTATACACGTAGTAAAGACAAGCAGCGGCACGCACACAGGAAGACTACACTGAATAACACCTGTACAGTGTGGAAACAAGAACTAGCCGCTCCAGCACTTTAGACATAGGGCGAGTAACCCTAACAATTTTAAATTTTAAATTTAAAATTTAGAGAAATTTTAAAGGATTTTAAAATCATAACTAAAGATTTTATAGTGCTACTACAGGAAAATCAAATTTGACGTGTGCAATATAATCTACATACCAGACACATATCAACGAGGTAGATGTTGATAATATGAAGAAAATAACAATGTGTTTTTAAATGTTAAATTTTAGACTGGGTTCAGTGTAGCAGCAACGTTAAGAGTATACACCTGATGATGGCCGATAGAGGCCGAAACATGTAGTGTGGAAGAGAACAAGACCAAAGACATATAATATATATTGTTTGCACTTGGTACGGAGTTTGTATCATTTACATTAATTTACTTCAGACAATTGTGCTCTCTTTGCAAATATCAGAATGAGTATACAAAGGAAAAAGTTAGTAATGGCCTTTCCAAATAAAACAATCTTATATTTATCTCATAAATATACAGAGACACAAAGAAGGGTCTCTATACTAAGATTATGGTCTTCTGAAATGTGATACTGTGTAGTATGGTAGTCTATCAAACAGTACCACATCCCAGAAGGTCAAAAGGTCATCTTAAAACTCAATGACATATGGAGTTGAAACCTCATCTAGGTGGCCAATTAGGTCATATTCATCCAGATGAAATAAAGTACGACTTATTCTCAAATTACCGCGCCATAGCTCATGTGGTTAGTCGCTGGCTTCCCACCACGGCGGCCCAGGTTCAATCCCGGGTCTGGTCAAGTGGGATTTGTAGTGGACAAAGTGGAGCTGGGGCAGGTTTTCTCCGAGTACTTCAGTTTCCCCTGCTAATCTTCATTCCACCAATTGCTCCACAATCACCCTCACCTATCATCTGGGGCTGGTACAATAGGCCAGAAGTGGCCGCAGTACAAGGGACCTAGTCCCACTCCACTAGCAATAAAAAAATTCTCAAATTATGATGAGAGAATTATGTAATTTCTTCACACATCAAGAGATTCATCATATGTGAAACAAATGTATGGATCTCTGAAAGTTTAAAATGGCTCACAAATGGTTCAGAGGATCTTCAGAGATGGAAGAAGGCCATGAATAAATCTTTTACACATAAAAGAAGACTGAAATGTATGCCAGCCCTCACATTTTGTTTATGGGAAGTATAAGAACATGGGCTTTCTACATTACACATATAACAAATAAGGTATGAAATTGCACTGGTATCTTCTGATTGCTGCATTAAGTTATATAGACCCACACATGATTCTCATTCATTCATCAGTAATCTGTCAAGACGACAGGTCCACAGTCTCTTCCAAAACAGTTCCTCCACTTGATGCGATCTAGAGCTTTCTCCTTCAAATGAAAATATCCTCTTCTGTCCCCAAGGTCATCCAGCATCTTCTTACGTCTTCTTCCTCGTCTTCTGGTCACTTCTATCCGCCCCTCTACCTTTCCTTCAATAACTTCTTTCAGAAGGTAGTTACCACGTAAGATATGACCAATCCAATTAGCCTTCCATTTTCTTATTTCGTGTAGGATATTCCTCTGCTCACTGACTCTAAATAACACTTCTTCATTTCTCACATAATCAGTCCAACTGATCTTCTCCATCCTTCTCCAACACCACATTTTGAAGCTTTCCAGGTGCTTCTGATCTACTGCCCTACGTGTCCAAGTTTCAGCCCCATACAAAGCAATGCTCCAAATGTAGCATTTCACTAGTTTCTTTCTCAAATTTAAGTCCAATTTGCTGGTAAAAAGATTCTTCTTCTTGCTAAATGCAGCTTTTTCCATGGCAATCCTAGATTTAATTTCACAAGTACACCTTCCATCATCTGTTAACAAGCTACCCAAATATTTAAAACATTCCACATTCTCCAGTTGTTTTTGGTCTATCTTTATTGTGACTGGGGTTGGTTGTCTTGAAATTTTCATTACTTTTGTATGAGTCTTCCACTTATGAATAAATGTATTGTTTTTTACAGTTTTTAAACAAAAGCTCTACAGTGATATTTTGTTATTACTTTTCATCAGCACTACTTATATCATTAAATTTTAATTTATTTGTGTTCTACTTTTTTTCTGTCTTTTAGGACTACCTTTCTGCTTCACTAATCAGGATTATCACTTAATCCGTATGACCTCTCACCCGTTTACTTCATATTAGCATGGGTTTACTATATACAGATAATTAAATATAGTTCAGACAGAAAACATTTTAACATTCCATTGCTCCTTATATAGGAAAGTTATTTGAAAGCCTGCTTGAATATCATTCAGCCAGTCCAGACGAAGAGCAACAATTTCCTTGCATTAACTCCTTCCAAACCTGTTCCAAACTGTAGCAAACTGACATGTTCACAGGTCAACAAATCACACACAAAACTAACCCAGATCACAAAAGATCCCACAAAAATGGTCCCTGTTGTTACAAACACATTCCTTGCACCTCCACACAAAGTCCACAATCAGATAAGGAAGTTCCTTTTTCATACGAGAAAAAACGTTATACTTTAAACTTCAAGTTCCTGTCTCTTGTGTAAGGCATGTGGGGGATTCTAGAGGAACATTTTTATGTCTAGTACCAATTTTATCCAATTTCTCTCCAGCAAGCACTCAGCAACTTTATTCATTATTTTTTGTACAATAACAACCTTGTCTGTCAAGATTTATTTATGACTGTATAAAGAGCTTATATTTGGAGCTGTAATGTTTTAAATTTACAACCAAACTGCTCCTTACTTTTCTTACACTACCACTTTTCACATAGGTCTCATATAAGAATGTCTGTTGCTCCAATGTGCAACTCACATATGGCATGCTGACATAGGAAATAACATGACTGAGTCATGACTGCTTACAGCACAGATGAATGGCAGTAGCAACATGAAGTTCAGGGTTTATGAGTGGGGCCAGCATATAACACATGGGCTTGCTTCACACTAGCTGTTCAGCGATTTATTGGGGTGATAATGAAGAGAAATTATGTGTTGAGGTTATTGGTTTACTGACCATGCCATTAGTACAAACTGATCTGACACAAAACAGCATGTGGAAATTCTGTCTGAATGGCTTAAAAATCAGTGGCAGGCTCTCAAATAACCTATCTGTAGTTATTAATTACATAAAGAACAATAGAAGGCCCACCCCTCATACATTCATTCATATTAATTACACACCTCTCTTTTGAGAGTAAATGCACAGAAATGGTTTAAAATGAGTATTGGACAAAACCCATAGAGTAATCAAATTCATGGAATTTGTGATTCTGAAGGTGCTGAATATTAAGATTACAGTTTCTCAGGATGTGCCTCTATGTAGTTTAGCATATAGGTACCAATGTTTTAAAGGAAACTGCTACTCATTTACCCTGACAATGGAGGCAGCAGGTTCTTACAAAATGTTGGAATCTATCTACTAAAACACACAGCATCACATCCCACAAGACTTTAGCCTTACCTGCATCAGATCTGAATACATGAAAACAATGACTAATGACGATGGAGATACATACAATTCATATGGGGACCATGATGGCTTAATGAGTATAGCAACTAGGCTACACGTTGGACAACTAAGAGTTTTCTTGGTGGGGGGGAAAGTGATGTTTCTCTTCTCCATGACATCTAGACAAACTCTAGGGCCCACCAAGCCTCCTATTCAATGGATACCAGGGTTCTATCCCTGATGGAAAAGTGGCAGAGGGGTGAATCTAACCACTCACCTCCAACTAGTGCAGAGGTCTAGAAAATGTGGATCTATACATCCACTCTCCATACATCTTCATGGCATAGTGCTTAATTAGTCAAGCACAGGGAAAAAAATGTACCTTTACAGCTTAATTACATAATTAAGTGGAAAAATAACTTTGTTTGTATTCTCATACGATATTAAAAACAACTTGAAATAAAAATAATCTCACATATCAAATGTATGACCACTCTTGGGGGTTGTTAATTATCTTAATGAGCAAAATACCTTTATGTGGAAAATTTAAAACAATTTTCACAAATCCTTCTACCAGTTCTGCTTCTTACTATGAATATTCTGAGGGAAGTTGGGTCCTATATTAACGTAAAAATTACAACGAAAAATTCTGTGAATTTCAGTTAAATTTTAATGTGAATTCTAGCATGATGGCGGTTTAGGATAAAATTCTGAATGTGCACAAATCGCGAGCCATTCTGCTTCTATCTGCATATCTAGTAAAATACGAAAGACACATCGTAAAATGTTACAGACAAGAGAGATACACATTTAACCAACAGTGGATTTCTAAATTTCAACAATTATCTTATAATCAGCAGAAAATGTATAATTTGCGAATTATGATTATCAGCTTAAATGGAATAAAGTACTAATAGCGCTGATATCGGGCACTGCAATAAATTGTCGGTGCGTATTGATAGCCTATACACAACATGGGGGTGGACCCACCCACTTACTGCACAGTCATATGGTCCCCTTCCCTTGTGAATCACTGCGAGAACATATCAGCCTATAAAGTGTGATCTTCGAAATTAATTAACAATATTCGGTAAGGGGGCTGGCCAGGAGCATGTCATCTGTCATTACTAAAAATAATGCACACGTCAGATCTTCCGGTCGAATAATAGCAGCACGGCACAAGCATGCACAATTGTATCAAGGGATGGTTACAGTATACTTACCCCAATAGATATACAATTATCCTCAGGTCCAGACGGAAATCTACATATGAATTTTGAACCTGCTTTTTCTTCGGAATCGTTCAAAGGCCTAAATCGACAGACCACTTTTATGCTGTCTTCTGCAGCTATTTCACGCTCACGTTGCTCACCCGACATTTTTATAACTTTAAAAACACTTTACACTAAAAATGTATATTTCTCGGGAACTTAAAACCGTGCATAAATTATGATAATAAAGCCGTGAAAAAAACCCATTAAAGCCATTGACAAGCTACATCAAAATGGCTCCCATTTTCTGTATGCAAGAGGCCGTTCCAGTCCGGAACAGCTGACCGGAAAAATAAATCGTCACATTCAGTTATTTACGCCTTAAAATATAAAATGAAAGTTAATTCCGCGTTTATAAAGAGTCCTGATTACGTTCTATATGATACTGTACGAGAATGAAGTATTGAATACCCGTTAAAACGTTCTAAAACCTAAACTGCTCACTCTACCGCAATATATTCGTGGTGCGGCACGACGGGAAGCGGTATATACGTGACGTCATTCCATCGCAAAGCCATGCGCGCCTGCTATTGATCTTCGAGGATCTTTCGTGCCCTGGCTCTGGGTTTGGTTTTTGAGTGGGCTGTCTCAGTGTTGTTGGGGTCAAGTTATTTAATATATCAAAGAAACACACTTGAAGCCCAAAAATGTTTGCTACAAATATCTGAAACCATTGTTCACATAACTCACAATTACACAAATCTGTTCTACTTTATGTATTATTTATTATTCCTTTGGATCAGGAAAAAAAGTCAGCGCCCCGCCCACAAATACAGTAGTGTACTTTGACAGCAACACAAGTATAGCATTTTCGGTTATATTCTTAAATAACTGTCAATCAGAAATATTTTTTTATATATACACCTACTCTGTGTGCGCATATACGTGCGTGCGTGCGCGCGCGCGCGTGTGTGTGTGTGTATATATGTACGTGCGTGCTTGCGCGCGCACCTAATAAACCCAGATACCTCAGCCGGTACAGTGTCTAGACAACTGCTTGGACAACCGAAAAATCAGGATTCGATTCCTAACAGGTGCAAAATATTTGTCTTTTCCATGCTGTGGTCAGAGCGGCCCTTCCTGCCTCCTGTCCACAGAGCAACGTGGATTCGTTCCCCGGGAATAATACGGCCTGATCGTGAAGCTGACCACTCACTTCCAACTAGAATTAATGTTAAAATGATGTAAACCTATGCTTCCGCTCTTGTCGATGACAGTGGCCGCATGGTCTAGGGCATAAACTGTCTTGTTCACTCGAACTCTGGGCTCGTAGGTTCGAATCCCACTCAAGGCATGGTTGTCTGTATGCGTTTATTCTGTGTTTGTGTTGTTTTGTGTGTAGGTAGCGGCCTTGCGACGGGCCTGATCCCCAGTCCACGGAGCTCTACTGACTATGTATAAAATAAAGAAACCGAAAAAAAAGCGGCCAAGGTCCAAAAATGGGCTGTAGATCCATAGATAGGTAGATAGGTGATTTACCCTTAGTGTGTGGACTTAGCTATTATTGTCCGTAATCACAGCGTTCAGCCTTTTCCTTTGGCAGATTGTCTTGTACAGAATACGTGCAAGACCTCACATAGGGGTTTGAACGTGCGGATGCTTTCTCTTCATGAAATGTACCGTGAAAACACCGCAGCGCTATAGATGCTGTTATGTATAAACAAATATGGCAGTTTTAGTTTGTTAAGACAGATGGTACACACAGAATCACTGAGCTTTAAAGGGTTAATTTACAGGAAGAACGTCTGCATATATGCCCTCAACTGACATACTGGCATTTCTCTCTGTCCCCGTTGTATCAATTTTTTCAGTACTGCTCCAAGGTGGTCGTCAGTCATTGCAGCGCTAAGTTTGATTTATTTGATTCAATCACCGAAAACGTGTGCTTGTATATATATCCTGAATTTAATAACACAAACATACTTACAGTAAATGTCTTTTATGAGGGGCAGTCAATTGAAAATGGGTCAGATGCCAAAACATATTAAAGAACATTTCTTACCTCAAAAGTAATCTCCAAAACTGTTAATATGTGTACATTTATCCCACTGGGATATAAGACGGCCAACCCCATCCTTGAAAAAGCTTATGGGCTGTCTACGGAACCACATCTTTACCCAGCCACACACGTCTTCGTCCAATGCAAACCGATGCCAGGTCCCCAAAAATGTGAAAATGGGAATGATCTGGGCTGTAAGGGGGATGTTGAAGCACTTCCCAACCAAATCTCTGTAGCGCATTCCTCACAGAGTTGGCAGTGTGGGGGGGCGCATTGTCATGAAGAAGGGTAATGCCGTTCGGTAGCATTCCAGGGCGTTTTGACAGTTTCTGCAAAGCGTCTTCATAGCGTTGTGCACTGATTGTAGCCCCATGCTCGAGAATTTCGACAAGCAGAGGGCCCTTGCAGTCGAAGAAGAATGTCATCATCACTTTACAGGAACTTGTGTGTACGGCTTTGGATTTCTTCGGTGGGGGAGAATTCACGTGTTTCCACTGTTGGCTCTGCGTTTGCTCTCAGGTCCAAAATGGTGGCATCAAGTTTTGTCCCCAGTTGCAATACGGGACAGAAAAGCATACTCTTCCTCATGGTATCGTTGCAAGTGACCCAGTGATGCAGCCATTCTCTGAGTCTTCTGTTCCTCCGTGAGTTGATGTGGAACCCACTGCGCGCAGATTTTGCGGTACAGCAACTGTTTTGTCAAAATGGCGTGTACGGAACCGTGACTTATTCTCATCAAAAGACTAATTTCTTCCACAGTGATCCGTCGGTTTGCCTGGATATGACCATCCAACGCAGCAATGACATCAGGAGTGATGACACGATGAGCCTGTCCTGGGCGAGCATCATCTTGCAGTGACACACGTCCCTCTTTAAACCTCTTACGCCACTCCATTACACACAAACGTGACATGCTGTTTCGCCAAAAACAACAGACATGCGACGATGAATTTCTCGTCCTCCTACTCCTTCAGCAGTCAAAAACCACATTACACTTTGCTGTTCTTCTTTAACCGCCTCCATTACTGGTGTTAGACGACCACACGCAGCGCTAACCTTACTTCCAGCACAATAAACAAATGACTAGTCTGCAAGGGCACGTTTTCACTGTGTTTTCCCGAGTCCCCACTAGATGTTCGTATAGTTCTGGTATTTAGAAATGACAGTCCAGGAAAAGCTGCGCAGTGGATGGGCAGGCCCATTCGTGAAAGTTGAGGGGTTTTATGATTAGTCATTCGTCTGCATTCAGTGCGAGCGGATGTCACAAGAGCATTCTTCCTTGTACAGTCAAATTAAAAAGTTTCGACTCTTGGAGTCGTATTTGAGTGTATTATTCTCTATTTACTGTATGAATATTTTATTTTATTGTTTATTTTTATTCGTTGATTTTCTTTTTTGTTTGTTTATATTTGTACATTTTTTCTATTTCCTTTAACATGCCACCTACATGAAGTAAATTGAGTGGAAAATTGTTGCATTCACAATCAAGAGAAATTGTTAGTAATGTATAGAAGTACAGTAGAACTTGGTTATAACGTCATCAAAGGGACCTAAAAATAGTGTCGTTATAAACGAATGTCGTTGTAACCGAAATGGGCACTTCCACAGTAGCCTTATGTTAGTCACGTAAAAATCTACCAAAAACCGAGTTAAAATGTTGCATTTTTTTTAGTGAAATACGTAGTTAAGCACAGACTAACGTAACATTAACGTGGAATTGCCCAAATGTGTAATATCAAAGACATATTACAGCGCTTTTCACTGACAATACACACCGCACTAATACTGTATATTACAGGTAGGCCTACTCACCAAATTACAGTAGATTACATCAATTGTTGTGCCTTACTGTACCTAGATACGAGTACAGAAATCAGTTATCTTCATCTGTTTCCTGTTACTTTCCCAATACACACTTTCTAAATTACGTTCAGTGTCCATATCAGAGAAATTCAGGAATGAAAATGACGTTACATACGAGGTTGATGCATTTGTGCATGTCGTACTAAGCAAGGTATAAAAACAGTTGCTTTATGAGGAATTAGTTCGTACCATTGAATATTTGACGCAATAGCCAAGGTGTCGCAGAAACCGATGTTGCTATAACCAAGTTTTACTGTATATGAAAGAGGCTGGGCCAACAATTACACTGAAGAACATAGGAGTGGAAGTAGCAAAGGCAACAGGTGTATCGGAAAGTAGTGTCAGAAGAATAATAAGAGAACCAGAAAATATCGAATCTTAGGCTTCCACTTCCTTTTCGACACCCCATAAAGAAACACCTAGGAAATCTCCACTAGCCACTTTGGACGATTTTAACGAGTCTGTGGTGCGAAGAACAATGAATGACTTCTACATAGTCGAAAAACAGAGACCTGCCCTGAAAAAAAGTTCACGAAAAGTTGAAGAAAACGTTAGATTTTCAGGGATACATCTTCACATTAAAGAAAATTATTTTGAAACTGGGGTTCCCCTGGAAGAAAACAAAAAATAATCGGTGGAACAATATAATATCAGAGCCAAACGTCTTCGGTATTTGCGGCAAATTAAAGAATATAGGGAAGAGAGCAGCCCAATCATCTACGTGGATGAAATCATCGCACACCACCCCAAATGCATGGAGTGATGGATCCATCCAGGGATTATTTTCCCCTGTGTCCAAAGGCCTACGACTCACTGTTATCCATTCAGGGGGAGAGCAAGGTTTCATCCATAATGCCTATATCCGCTTCAAATCCCACGAAGAACAGGAGACTACAACAGTGACATGAACTACACCAATTATGAAAAAGGGTTAAAGGAGCGACTTATTCCTAACCTTCCCCCAGATTATATCCTTGTCATTGATAATGCTCCCTACCATAATGTACAACTAAACAGAGGCCCTAACTCAAATTCAAGAAGAGATTTTATGATATCCGGGCTAAAATATCACCTTCCACCTATTACCTTCGACAACACTTATTTCTCATCATTGCGGAATCCAGACATATATAATATGATCCTACCACTCAAACCGAAATACCTTTCCTATAAAATAGATGGAATCTTTGCAGAACACAATCACAATATTTTACGACTCCCGCCGTATCACCCAGGAACGCAACCAAATTGAGTTAATACGGGCCACCGTAAAAAAATGGGTTGTTCAAAACAATACCACATTTAAGATGGATGACGTCATTAAACTGGCAGGTCAGAAATTGGCTTCCATAACTGCAGAAGAATGGCAACGTAGGTGCCAACATGTAAGGAACATTGAGCAACAATTAATGGCACGGGAAGGCCTTTTGGACCAGGACGGGAGTTCGTCTTCCACGTTGGCGGTAATAGTGATGACCAGGGCTCGGATTTTGATGACATGTCATTTTTTTCGTGTATTCTATGCGATGCTCTTAAATATATAAATCTCGGATATGAGCTGCTGGTGACGGAAATGTAAATTTTATAGGTAATTTTTTGTCATTTTTTGACATT